AAGGACCACTTTATCACTTCTTCTGCGAATGTCATTTTTTCTTAATGAATGCGGGACGAGGACAGGTTTGTGAAGTCCGCCTTCTTTTGTTGAAATGTCCAAAGGATGACGACTTGTCAAGTCTTCCCCCCGGGTCGCTATGGAGCCAGTGTTCTCACTTGACACTGTTGGATCTGAAATTCCTACGCGCCCAACATTACCCGTATTTGCAACCTAGATCGTCAAATACTGAGGGGTCTTATACGGTCTACGAATCTTGTATTGTAACATTCCAAGAACCTATCTTGAGATTGACTCAATGATGAGGGCATTCCCATGCTTTCGGTTAAAAATCAATGCTTGTGCATTCAATTCTTGCCTTGGGGAACTCAACTTTAAGCGAGTGATCATGTCAGTGGGTTAATGTGCCGGTTCTCCTCCATAGCATGCTAATTAAGGTCGTGTCCGTAGATTATTAAAAAAAAACAAATTATGAGAACCATTGAGAAAAAAAAGATGAGAAATCAAGAACATCTAAAATGTGCTAGCACTATCCTCAAGAATAATAGCATAGATAGGATATGCAATATGGATTTGGCTCTTTAGTCCCCACATTTAGAGAGCTTTTGCCTGGAACTGGATGTCATGGTAGTTGGAGTTAGGCTCCTGGATGAGGAGGTAGTGATTCCATGGGAAGAGTGTATAATTGAATAATCGAGATTGCAAGCTCGAGATCTCAAATGTTAGAATGAGCGGTATTTTTCTTGAAATATATTGAAATTGACCTTGATTTAAAATTCTAATATATACTATTTTCATGGTATCTGATCTTTGGTAAAAAATAAAAAGCACGTTGTATTGGAAAATTAGGAGAAAAGCTGATATCCATTTTAATTACCTTTGGTTAAATATAATATAACATTGCTTCATATCCTAAATGCACATAACTCTTTCTTTATAAAGAAGTATACCTTATATCGATATTATTTTATTTTATAATCACCATATTACCAGTTTCCTTAATGTTTATATTAGTGCTTTATGCTTTGTCGCACTAATTTGTCAAAAGAATTTAATGTTGTAGAATCGTAAGCCTATTTTACAACTTCATCACAATAAACATCGATATTATATTGTTGCATTGAAAATGGAAAGACCAACAGAAAGGTCGATTATGATGTTTCTAGAAAATGCTAATAAATCAGTATACTATTTTATCCTAATTCATACTAATTATATCAATGAAAAGGGTGTTTGTTTCCGCAAATTTTTTTGATAAATATCAGCTGATATTTGAGAAGACGAAGAAACTTTTCTGGGTCAACCTCCCTTCTAATCCTCAATGGACGAGAAGTTTTGGCGGACTGCGTCTTCCCATGAGTAGTGGCAGGGAAATGGACAAATCTCATGTCTACGAGCAAACAAAAACTGGCAAGGACCACTTTATCACTTCTTCTGCGAATGTCATTTTTTCTTAATGAATGCGGGACGAGGACAGGTTTGTGAAGTCCGCCTTCTTTTGTTGAAATGTCCAAAGGATGACGACTTGTCAAGTCTTCCCCCCAGGTCGCTATGGAGCCAGTGTTCTCACTTGACACTGTTGGATCTGAAATTCCTACGCGCCCAACATTACCCGTATTTGCAACCTAGATCGTCAAATATTGAGGAGTCTTATACGGTCTACGGATCTTGTATTGTAACATTCCAAGAACCTATCTTGAGATTGACTCAATGATGAGGGCATTCCCATGCTTTCGGTTAAAAATCAATGCTTGTGCATTCAATTCTTGCCTTAGGGAACTCAACTTTAAGCGAGTGATCATGTCAGTGGGTTAATGTGCCGGTTCTCCTCCACAGCATGCTAATTAAGGTCGTGTCCGTAGATTATTAAAAAAAAACAAATTATGAGAACCATTGAGAAAAAAAAGTTGAGAAATCAAGAACATCTAAAATGTGCTAGCACTATCCTCAAGAATAATAGCATAGATAGGATATGCAATATGGATTTGACTCTTTAGTCCCCACATTTAGAGAGCTTTTGCCTGGAACTGGTTGTCATGGTAGTTGGAGTTTGGCTCCTGGATGAGGAAGTAGTGATTCCATGGCAAGAGTGTATAATTGAATAATCGAGATTGCAAGCCCGAGATCTCAAATGTTAGAATGAGTGGTATTTTTCTTGAAATATATTGAAATTGACCTTGATTTAAAATTCTAATATATACTATTTTCATGGTGTCTGATCTTTGGTAAAGAATAAAAAGCATGTTGTATTGGAAAATTAGGAAAAAAGCAGATATCCATTTTAATTACCTTTAGTTAAATATAATATAACATTGCTTCATATCCTAAATGCACATAACTCTTTCTTTATAAAGAAGTTTACCTTATATCGATATTATATTATTCTATAATCACCATATTACCAGTTTCCTTAATGTTTATATTAGTGCTTTATGCTTTGTCGCACTAATTTGTCAAAAGAATTTAATGTTGTAGAATCGTAAGCCTATTTTACAACTTCATCACAATAAACATCGATATTATATTGTTGAACTGAAAATGGAAAGGCCAACAGAAAGGTCGATTCTGTTGTTTCTAGAAAGTACTAATAAATCAGTTTACTATTTTATCCTAATTCGAACTAATTATATTAGTGAACAGGGTGTTTGCTTCCGCAAATTTTTTTGATAAATATCAGCTGCTTTTTTAGAAGACTAAGAAACTTTCCTGGGTCAACCTTCCTTCTAATCCTCAATGGACAAGAAGTTCTGCGGACAAATCTCATGTCTACATAACAAACAAAAACTGGCTAGAACTACTTCGTCACTTCTTCTGCAAAATGTCGTTTTCGTAATGAATATTCTACAGCACGACAAAGCGGCAAGAAGACCTGCTTGTGAAGTCCCTGTCTTTTGTTGAAACGTTCAAACGACGACTTGTCAAGTCCGTCCTCTACGACGACTTGTCAAATCTTCTCCCCAAGTTGCTATGGAACCAGTATTCTTGCTTTTCATTGTTGGATCTGAAATTCCTACGCGAGCAACATTACCGGTGTGCGCGACTAGACTGTTAAAATACGAGTGGTCTAATAATAACACCACAACTGCAAAATTTACTTTATACAGAAAATTTTATATGTTGTCGACACATGCTTATTTTCCCTAGATAACTAATGAGCAGTTCCCACCAAAAAAAAAAACTAATTAGCAGAAAAAGTGATGGAACATGAAACCATGCTAAACTTACCGTCAAATATTTAAGCTATGAGAAAAATATCAACAATCTATTTATCACAAATTACTTCACAAAATAATGCGGCATCATACACTCTTGTGGTCGATCAATTGTCGAAAGCATGAGACCCGAGACAAAGTTTACCTTCATTTAATTATCCAGCAATTACATACTGCATCATCTAGCAAGCATAGTTCAGAATTTCTTTTTGGAAAAATTAGATTATACACCGCCGGTGGTGTAAAGAAAATTTTACATAACCAGGCTCATCCATTCTTGATTTGAGGATTATAACTACTCTCTTTCAAATCATCAATATATGCGGTCACTTATGTGGCACTTACGTGACCGGATCTTTTGGCTAGGCAAATTATCATTGGTACTTAAGTAATTGATTTCTCAAATTTGTTGCACTTAAGTAAGTGAAAAAAATTGCAAAAATTGTCCATGTCAGTACCAATGACGCCACGTAGGACGACTGGCATTCACATTGGATTTTCCGGCTAGGTAAATCGCCGATGGCACCTAAGTGATTGATTTTTCAAATTTGTAATACTTAAGTGAGCGAAAAAAAGCTATGTCACTCAAGAGAGCGCCGTACGAAAGTTATGGCACTCAAGTGAGCGCCGTAAGAAAGTTATGGCACTCTTGCTATTCTTATCCCATAATTTCCCTTAGGTTAGTCTAACAGGACTGACAAACACTTTGCGCTGTAGTCCTACTGGTCCTCCATGGCTATAGACAATGGCCGTCGCCCAGACCAAATCGAGCGAGGGAAACTTTCAATTGCCTCTCTCATGTGACGTCCTCAATTCACGTAATACACATTTCGCCATTTTATTTGTCAAATAAATTGAGAGGAAAGGGCGTCCAACGTTGATGACTTCCTCCAAGCATTACCGAAAAAGTTATATACACGCAATATGATGTTCCATTGGAAATGCTACTACTTCAAGCAAACTTGTCACCATCAGCTTACCACAACATAGTGAGATTATAATCGGGATAATCCTATAACACGGCATAGTTTAACATACACAACAAACGAATTAAGGATTTTTGAGGTTGAGAAGCAACTGGAAAGTTTTGAACTTGTCACCAGTGTATCTCAAGAGGTCCAAAACCTCTAAGTAGTAATTCTTACCCAATTGGTGATATTCCGTATAGTTCATTTTTCTTTGTCTTGCAATGCTATATGTACTAAGAAATCATATTAAAAAATTTATAATAAATAATATGGCAATTTTGTAATTAGTTTCTTAAACAAGCCAATCATTTAAAGAGTGGGTCTCATTTGTTTGAACGCTCAACTGAAACTTTTATCACTTATTAAAAGGTTTTAGTAGGATTTCTTTATTCGTATTACATTTCTTATGCTATTTACGCTTATTTCTTCTTAAATACAAGACACAGCAAATTTGGTACGCAGCCTCAATATCATAGTCATGTAATTGTAGTTAGTCTTCGGTATACTGTGACCATCCTTTTCACTAGGACAACGACTAAGGGCGCATGGCCCTTCATACATAAACTGTCTTTTGCACCGGCAATTGAATAAAAATCCTTCGTATATTGGTTTCTTTATTCTATATTCATATCTGCAATCGGGTCCCTCCAATTTGTTCTGCTGATACAATTAGCCCTTCCGCCCTCTATTATTGTAGCACGCGCCAATAATTGGTTGCTGCGAACGGCTTACGCTTGAACTCCACTCTATGAACAAGGGCAGAAGCACAAAGGTCCGAAAGGGGTAAAAAAAATTGAGAGAGAGAATCTTTTTTTTGGAAATGAAGGTAGTGCAGTGGCTTCTAGGGGTGTCAATCAAACCCGCGCCGGCCCGGCCCGACCCGCGCAGGCCTGGTCCGGCCCTAAAATTTGGGGTATTTTGGTGTCGAGCCTTAATTTTATTCAAATATGGCCCTATAATTTGAGGTTTCATTAGGGTTGGGGTATTTTAGGGTCGGCCCATTGATACTCTAGGCCAACCCATCTCCCTCTCTGTCTCTCTTCCCTCTCTGGCGCTACGCCGCCGCTCTTCCCCCCTCGCCGTCCCCCGCCGCCGGTCCCCCGGCAAGCCCCTCCGCCTCTCCACTGCCGCCACCCGCGCCGCCATCTCCGTGGGCGACAGGCTCCCCGACGCCACCCTCTCCAACTTCGACCCCGCCAGCAAGCTCCAGACCACCACCGTCTCCGCCCTCACCGCCGGGAAGAAGTCGATCCTCTTCGCCGTCCCGGGGCCTTCACCCCGACCACGCTCGCGAAGCACTGCGGGGGCTCGTGGAGAATGCCGGGAGCCGAAGGCCAAGGGCGTGGGCAACATCGCCTGCATCTCCGTGAACGACGCCTTCATGATGCGGGCGTGGAAGGAGAACCTGGGCATCGGCGACGACGTCATGCTGCTGTCGGACGGGAACGGGGACTTCACGAGGGCGATCGGGTGCGAGCTCGACCTGAGCGACCAGCCGGTGGGGCTCGGGGTGCGGTTGCGGCGGTACGCGCTGCTCGCGAAGGACGGCATCGTGAAGGTGCTCAACCTAGAGGAAGGCGGGGCCTTCACCTTCAGTGGTGCCGAGGATATGCTCAAAGTCCTGTAGATGCTTTCAAGTTTCCATTTTTTTCTTTTCTTTTTGGGGCTTTGAACTTGGCTGTCGTTGACTGGTGTTGAGGGGTGAGGTTCTTGTTGGGTTTTGAGCTTGATGAAGTTTTCGTTCCTGACTTGTGCCTAACAAATTGAGAGGGAGTTGGAACTACGGTTTGATGCAGACACAATGAACAGGGATTTTGCTTCTGGGATTCCAAGATGTTGCCTTTCTTTTGTATTGATTTCGTGAGGATGATGATGAGGATGATGATGTTGTTCCTGAGTTCAGCAGTATAAGAGTTAACGGGTGTTCTGGTGCTGGGAATCACATTGCGAATTGCGATTCACGGTCGCAGAGAGACTGCTTCGTCGTTGGACGACGGACCCTGGAAACGTTTGTCTGCGGTATGAATCGAAAGTTTAATCTCTTTCGAAGGTAGGAGCGGATGCCGTTGTGCCTTGAACTCAGGCGTATGATTCGACCGCCTGTCTTGTTGGTGATTCAAGGTTCGGAGAAGAGGGACATTTGATGGAGCAGCATTGAAGATAGAAATGTCAGTTTTTAGAGTGAAAAGAGTTATGTTTATGTTCTAATGGTGTTTTTCTTAAAGACGGGAATGGTGGATGATGATTATTGAGAGGCAAAACGCTTCCTTGAGCTGGATATTTCACATGAGCTTCTGTCTTTTGATAACATCAAAGAACAACTTACATTATTCAATCGGGAGCTGGAAATGTATCAATTGTTTAGTATGTGTACTGATATTAAGATAGACTCGTAATAATACGACCCAAGTATCGTGAACCATGTCTCTCCGTGATGGTGATTACTCTAAGTAGAAATTTTTCTTTATGAGAATTGTCTTCTGCCTTTTGATGTTACTATCTGCGCGAAAGCGAAAAAAAAAACCCGAAGCCCGGCCCAAACCTTGGGGTGTACGGTGAACAGGGTCTTGGGTGGGTCTGGGCGGGTCAAGCATGACCCTGTAGGTTTCAGGTCGGGTCGGGTCGGGTATCCCGACCCGATCCATTGACACCCCTAACAATAATCCTTGTTTAAATTGAGATTTTGCAGTGGATGTATTAGTTTTCCCCAGGGTATTAAAATGCATTTTCTCATCTATTACATATTTAGAGTTATTGAAATTTAACGTATATATGTAAATGTCAAAATTTGGATAATATAGCTACAAAAAAGGAATGGATCCACACCTAAAAGCTTAAGGGTAGCGGGGTTCATAGACTAAGGATAGGCACCGGGAATCCCCACAAAAAATGCTCGTCAAGGCATCCTGCGGGACATTAGGTGGGGCTAGTATTAACACTACCTCGCCTAGCGAATCCGCCCGTGTACACTATTAAGAAAAGAACATTTTTTTATTTTTTTTATTTTAGAGCAAAAGCCATCAAAAATTCTGAATTATGCTTATTGTGATACATTTACCCTAAACTAGGCAGAAATCATTTCTATCACCGTTAGTTATATTTTGAAATCAATGGTGGTGATTACAGATTATGTTGAAAAGGATAAAATGGGTTGTGTGTTTGAAATTAATTTCTATTATCAACGATGTGGATTGTATAAGGATTATATGCTTAAATCATTAATCTAGTAGCATATACTCTTTGGCAGCGATTGTTGTCGCCTTCTTCTTCATTATTGTTGGTGGTTTGGTCTTTGAAACATGGAGGAGGAGAAGCAAAGAGAAAAACGTTAGATGAAATGGAGGAGAGCTCTTGAAAGACCAGAGAGTTCAAATTTTTACGGAATCAGAGCTAGCAAAACCAACCAACAACTATGACAATAGCAATAAGCTCGGTGAGGGAGATTTCGGTTCCATCTATAGAGGGAGAACAGCAGGGGACACTGTGGTCGCGGTCAAGAAGCCTAAAGATATGCACGCATCTCTAATAAAGGGCGATTTCCACCATGAACTTGAAGATGTGACGAGACTTCACCACAAAAGCGTGGTGAAGCTTGAGGGCATATGTTTGGAGACTAGAATACCCTTGCTGGTTTATGAATACATTTCAAATGGGACCCTCTTCCAACACATCCATCAGAATGCGTCGACCATCTTAAGATTGTGGAAACACCGGTTCAAATAGCCCCTAAAGCTGCTCTTGCACTCATGTATATGCATTCCTGCACAGAACCCCCAATCATTCATGGCGACATCAAGTCAATGAACATACTTCTAAATCAAAACTACTTAGTAAAAGTGTCAGATTTTGGAACTTCAATGCTTATATCGCCAGAGCATAGTCATATTGTAGCCACTGAAATACAAGGCACATTGGGCTACATCGATACGGAATATTTAACCACCGGTGCGCTAACAATTAAGAGTGATGTGTACAGCTTTGGAGCTATCCTCGTGGAGTTGCTCATGGTAAAGGTACCTACAAGTTTTGTTACTAAGTCCGGAGAGCCAATCAATATTATCCTTTGTTTCATCTCTTCTGTGAAGGATGAGACACTCTCCGATGTCATAAACTTCGAGGGTGCTAGTGAAGATGAAATGGAGAGAGTAGAAATGGTTGATGAGAATGCAGTGAAGTGTTTGGACCAAAGTAGTGCGAAGAGGCCAGCAATGAGGGAAGTGGCTGAGCAACTCGTGAGGATTAACTCTGAGCACGACAGCTCGACAGTTGAAGAAAACAATGAATAGACCGAACACAAAGTGGATGAAGAAAACCTCTACTCCCATGCGACTTCAATTACTTGTGAGACCAGCCAACGTCAAGGTCTCTTTTCTGATCTGAAAATGGATTCAGCAGGTTCCGGCATGTGATGCATTTATTAATATTGTAACATGTCTATTAATTGTCCACCAGGACTTCGAGGGTTGAATGTGTAATCTGAATATATGTTTGCCATTTTCTAGAGACTTATATGTGTGCAAGCATTTATGCAAGTTTAAGTGTCACAATCTAATATAATATCTGCAATGTCGTGGATTGAAGTAGAATTATAGGAGGCTGGCATGCGGCCATTATGTCATTATCATAATCTATCTTTCCATTTATCTCTCTTCCTTTTCTTTTATTCCTTACATATTATAATAATACGTCAGAAAAAAAATTCTACTCACGCCCTTTTTATCTTTTCTTTCCTTAGTCTAATCCCAATTCACTTTTTATGGCAAGTGAGTTGGCGAAAAAGACAAAAATAGGCCAGAAAAAGTATCTACTTTTACTCACTTTTCCATTTTTGTAACTTGCTCTTGATTAGATATGATGGCAAAAAAATAACATCTCAATTTACTTTGCTTTCTCATTATTTATAGTTCATTTAATCTAATTTCAGTTTAGATGTTAAATAGGAGTGAGAGGGGGAAAGCCAAACCAATTCAAAACTCACAAAATACCATGTTTTCCAGTCAAACCTATCGTACCCTGAGCTCTACAGTCATTTAGTTAATTTTAACAAAAAGTTCTTATCCAAACCCATATGAGAATTTCACAAGATCAAGGATGTAGAATCAGGGAATTTACTTGATAATAACTTTATTGTAGAGCAAAGTCTTTAAAAAATAAAGAAATAACTTTTACAACATCAAAGCTAGATATACAATCTGCCATTTAAGATGAAAGAAGTTATATATATTATAGTTTGATACCTAAAAACTACGAAGAAAAACACTAGCGAGCAAGAGATACTTAACCTACATTAAATGCGTTAGAAATAAGAAGTACTTTTTGTTCTTTCTACCTGAAATTTACAAATTTATGGCTTAGACTCAATTAATTTTTAAGTCATTGACCGCTGTCTTGTATAATATCTTAAACGATAGTGTAAAAAGCAGTTTCAATAATTTTCTAGCAAATAGTCTTAAACTAAATTGACAAACAGATAAAAAAATATGTACTTTTGATTGATTTGCAATTGTAATTTGAGCGTGACATTTTTTTAAATATTTTTCGAAAAAAAATCTCTTAACAAAAGATTGGAAATAAAAAGTCACTATAAAATAATGGGAGAAAGACTAAAATAGTATGAAGATTTTGTGATCCCCGTGCTAAGAGTGGATTTGGGAGAGCTTTTGTCCAATGCTTTATACAAGTGCAAATTACTTTAGACTAAATGGTTTTCATGAAATGCAAATAGATTAGGGTTTTTTGCAAAGCAATTTTTAAAATGAGAGAGAGAGAGAGAGAGTGGAGAGGATCGAGGAAACCCAACCTATTGGAAGCAATCGGAGCCAACGAGGATTGAACTGTCAAAGAGACCAGGCAAGTCGATGCCAAGGATCACGCCACCTCGGACAACCCAAGCAAGTTGATGCTAAGGGTCTTGCGACCTTGGGCGGCCAGGCAAGGCAACTCGGAGTCTCGCGACCTGAGTGGCCCAAGGTTGCGTGACCTAAATGGCCCTCCCCTGGGCATTTGAGGTCGAGCAACCCCCAGTCGAGGGCAATTGAGTTCGTGCGGCCCAAGTGTTGCCTTGACTGAGTCACGCAACCTCAGTTCTATGGTCGCCAGCGGCAACCTAAGGCGACATCAGTCAAATCTAAGCCCGTTGATGACAATGAGTGATGACAACCAAATCTGCACAGGAAAGTGAGGGTAAGGGTATAACTGGAACTTGAAAAATTTAATGAGGGCAAAGTTGGGAAGAAAAACATTAACCCTAAAAGCCGCATTCCAAAATGTCGAATGCCAATGTTTGGTGGGACTTGTCTAGGGCTAAGCAATTTTGGAAAAGTTAATTTCGTCTCCTAAGTTTTTGGGAATGCGGAACCAAACACCTCAACTTTAGCACTTTGGCACAAAAGCTTTGAAAGTTCAAAGTCCTTAGAGATTACTAAACCATACGCACCCTAAGCTAGGTTTTCTTGTAGTTTACCTTCGAGTAATGCATCTTTGCTTATTTTCTATGGCTCCCTTACATACCAAGTCACCACAATGCTGGGGAGTCTGGTAGCTCTAATCATCTGTTGGCACATGAAAAAGAATGTCAGTAAATGGCCGATTTCTATGTAAGTCGAGCACATCTTATTATGAAGATTAGAATTATCATATGCGTTGCCAGTTACAACTCTTACGGCGAGTCAACCGCTTTGTATATTTGCCCTTGATTGATAGTCAAAATCAGCATATCCAACGCATGATTCCAAGTCGACTACTTTTTATATTTGTTTGGAGCTACAATTACAAATGTACTTTGGGATGCTAATCTTATTTAACCAAATACTGCAATATATTATTAGAAAATTC